AACCAGGCCCAGCCACTGCCCACTTCCTGCTCCCTAGGCCATGAGCACACCCTGGAGGCTGACAGCTATTTCTTTCCAACCCCTGTGAGTGAGAGAGAGAGCACCCTGGCTGGCAGGGAAGCCAGGCCAATAGAGAATCCATATCCCAGGAAGCAGGGCTCCTGGGGCCTGCAGTAGGCACCTGGCTCATCCTCAGGGCTCCACCCTGCAGGAGCAGGGGCCTCCTCTTCCACTACCAAGGACCTGGTGGTTGGGGACAATTGTCTGTGTCTGGGGTAAGTCAGAGGCAGGAGAACAAAGAGAACCCTTCCTGCCAATGTGACTCTGACCTTGAAAACCCTGTGGGGTTTCATTTACTCGAAAGAAAAAGGGAAGAGTTGGTTACTAGCTTCAAAGAGGGGCAGACCTCCTGCAGGCGGGCATTGAGGAAACCTTGGCTTTGTGAGTTATTGCTGCCAAATTTCTGCTTTTCAGTTTAACAAAAGTCCTGGGGATCACTGTCCACGGGCTGGGGAGGAATCCAGCCACCTTTTTTAGAAGGCAGGAAGGTGCCAGGATCACTGCTCTTACTTTGACTGGGCTCTAGGTGGCACAACTTTTGATGTAAAGATGAAATAACAATGGGGAGATCTGGATGCAGCCTGAAGGCTCACCCCAGTGTCTTGCTGCAGGTGTGCCCAGCTGTGGGACCAAGACCCCCAGAGTGAAGGGCATTGTTCCATCTCTGCTGTGGGAGTCTCTCAGGGAAGCAGCATAGCACTCAGGAAATCCTGGGCACCGTAAAGGACTGTGTATTTATTCTTTATTCCAAAAACAATAAGCAAGTCCCTGCTGTGTGCCAGCCACTGGGTGAGATCCTGGGAGGAGGTCTGATATGTTGTGGGTCCTGCCATGTCCTGCCTGCTGTGACAGTCCACCACTGTAGTGGCACCTGTGGCCATCTAGAGAGTACACGTTCTGCTAAGGGGGGCAGCAGCCATTGCACCATGGCACTGGGCATTTGGTGGCAGGCCTTTGGATTTATAAGAGAAGCCAAAAATCTAGAGGTTTTTTTGTGACATTTTAAAATTTCACATCTTTAAATGTTGGCATTTGATTCAAAACTTAAAAATGTCAACACTGTGTGGGCTAAACAAAACATGAATGTTGACCAAATACAGCTCATACTCTTTAGTTAAAGACCTTTATCTTAAAGGTTGGATAAAACCCAGATGGGCAGAGGGCAATAGGCAAGGCCTTCCTGGGGAGGGGGCACCTGGACAGAGGAGTGGTGGTGGGAATCTGCCTGAGCATTTTCAGGGCAGTTGGGGACTGGGAAGCCATGGGCGGAACTGATGGGGCCCCGCCCAGTCATGAAAGCCTTGCATGCCCTGGACATGCAGATATGCTGCAGGCCTGACCCAGGCTGCCCTGAGAGCCTCCAGCTGTGTCCACCCCTCCAGCAGTGTTTACCCAACCTCACATAAATGAGGCTTTGGCCAGGCAAGAGCTCAGGGAAGAAGGGTCATGAGTATTTAAGAGAAACCTCCAGGACACATGATCCTGACCTCTAGGAAAGCTATGGAATGGGGGCTGTCGATCTCTCCAGTGTCCACACGTGCATGTGACCTCCCCTGCCATTTGCGTTTGCTCTCCTGCGGGCCAGCAGCTCCTTCAGGTTCTGGGCTGGGCCAGGAGGGCCTTGGCAGGAACACCTAAACCCTTGAAAGGGGTTCTTCCCTCCTCCTCCTCTTCCTGTTCCTCCCCTGCAGGGGTCTTGCATTCTTCAGAGGGTTTGAATGGCTCTGGCCAAAGCCTGTCTGGGTGTCTTCCTGTTCGGGGCCTGCAGTTATGACTTCTCCCTTTTTCTCAGTTTCTCCCCCTATCTGCCACTCCCACCTTGATCCACCTTTGAGTTTCTTCTAAATGATCACCTGCAGAAATGGTCCTTCAGATTGTCCCAGAGATTTGTCCAGGAAACTTTCATTGAGCCCCTGCTGTACGTAGGGTCTTGGGCCAGAGAGGTGACTGAAGCCCAGGGCTCCCACCGACTGGTGGAGTAGACAGCCACACAGACAGCCGGTGGGTCTGAAGAAGAAACTCGTGTGAATCATGGGGGGAGTGGCAGACAGGGGGAAGAAACAGAAAAAGGGAAGTTATGACTATAGGCCTACCTGGGAGACTGAGGCAGGAGGATCTTTTGAGCCCAGGAGTTCAAGTCTAGCCTGGGCAATATAATGAGACTATGTCTCAAAAAAAGATAAGTTAAAAAAATTGCAAGTATAGAATACCAAATTCCAGGCACTAAGTAAGGAAAAAGTAACAAAACTTCTATGCCACTGCCACCATGGAATCTCTTACCCCACCAAAAGCCACGGTGGACTGTTTGTAGGGGACTTTTTCTACAGACTTTTCTGTGGCCAATGAAATGATCTTATCTATGTCCCTGTGCCTGGAACAGGCCACCCAGCATACTCCTGCTTCCTTGGCCAGCAGAAGGGCTGAGGGAGCCTAGCTGCCACGGCCCAGAGCCCTCTCTCCCAGCACCCACAGCCTTTAGTCCCATAGCAGTGGGGCTGGGTGGCCCTCCATAGACTGAGTCTGTGGCTGTGGAAGGAAGAGGGCATGGTCTTTTCCCAGCAGTGCCACACAGACTCAGGCCATGGGCTGCCTCAGCCAGCAGAGGGGGAGGCAACAAGCAGGCTGGCTGGCTGAGGGCTTCGAGTGCACACAGGGCTCCCCCAAGGGACCCTTGGGATTGAGTTATTTCTGTTCTTGCTCACCCGTGCCTGGCCCTGGGGACAGAGACAGGAATCAGCTGCAGTCCCTGCCTCCCTGGAGGAGCTCCCAGTCAGGGGTGGGAGAGGTGCCTGCCACCCCTGATGAGACTGTCTCTACCTACGGTTCTCCCTGCTCCTCAGAACAGGGGACAGCCAGGAGCCAGGTCCAGGGAGGAGTGTGGCCTGGGCTCAGGGGAGCCCTGGAGGAAGCGGGTTGTAAGCTAAGTTTGGGAGGAAGTCTCCCCACCCTGGTTTCACCTGATGGGGCTTGCAGCACCTCCTGCTCAGCAAGCAAGGAACTGGGTGGGAAAGAACTGACACCTGTGCAGTGCAGACACTTGGAGCTGTTGTTTCATTTAGAGTACAGTGTTTTCCCCATAGAGGCCCTGTGTGGATGAAGACACAGAGCTGGTTGAGGATTGGGCCTGGGGGCAGGGCGGAGAGGAGGGCGCATGGTGAAGATCTGTCTGCTTAGGCTGGGGAGCCCACTCGAGGTGGAGCACTGGCTTAAGGCACCTTGGCCCTGCCCATTGTGGCTGGGGGACCTTGATCAAGGTACTTCATCATCAGTCAAATGGGGCAGGGAGCCCTGCCTACTTCCCAGGGCTTCTCTGCAGGTCTGCCTGACAGTCTTTCTGCCTTGGGAGCAGCAGAGCCTGGGCCCATGTTGGGGATGATGAGGATGTTGATGGTAACGAGGATAGCGACAGGGACAACACGGGGGATTGTTTACTGAGGATTCCCTTGTGCTGGCGCTTGAGATGACACACCCTTGCTATGTGCTTTGTGTCCTGCCTTCACAGCTCCTCACTGGACCCTGCACTGAGCCCTAGACTTGTCTCTCCGTATTCACCCTTGCTCCCCTTTCAGTCTGTTCTCTGCCCAGGACTCACTTGTTATGACTCAGGTTCCTTCCTGTGGACCCTGAGTGGGCAGCACCTGACTACCTTTCCAGTTGCACTTCCCACATCCCTCCCCATTCCCTGCCCCAGGAGAGCTCCAGCACACATCTGTGTCCTTGTTCCCTCTTCCTGTCTTCCTGGAACATTCTTTGTCCAGATACCTGTGTGGCTTGCTCCCCCACTTCATTCAAGTGTTAATCCAACCACCCGGTGAAACACAGCCCCGTCCCACCCTCCAGTCTGGACCCGGCTCTGCATTTGTCCCCAGCTCTTGAATTCATTTGATGTTATTACATACATCGTGTACTTTTCCCACACTAGACTGCACGCCACATGCGAGTAGAACATTTATGTCTTGTACCCTGATGTGTCTCTGGCACCTAGAATAGGGCCTGACAGAAAGTTGGTAAACGAACAGACATTTAATTGTACCCCATAATGTGGACACATTGCTGTCTACATTTTACAGATGGGGAAACTAGGCCCAGAGAAGATGTGGATTTACTAGCCCAAGGTCATACAGCTGCAGCGGGACAGAACCAGGATTTTAACCCAGTGTCTGTGGCTTCTGAGCCCTGTCTCAGCCAGTTAGACGGTCCCACCGTCCCAGAATCTAGGATGGACAGGAATGGGAGGGGGCCCAAAAAGGTGGGTAGGATTTTACCCTGGAGTTGAGGGGTGAGGCCAAGGAGGGGATGAACCATAGGGGTCTGAGAGGGCGAGGGGCAGGTCAGGGACTTCAGTGAGGGTCAGGACGGGGAACCCTTGCAAGACAGTCTCTGAGGAGAGCACCCCCGGCACCAGCCACTCCCAAAGACCAGCTGCCTCCAGGCTTCTTGTGCTGGCTCTGGTTCCTGGCACGATTTCTGTTTCCCAGAGGAGCTCAGGCCTGGCCCAGCTTCCCAGGGTGGAGAAACACATGGTGAGTGAGTATGTGTGTGTGCGTGTGTGTATGTGTGTGTGTGTGTCCAGCCTTGCTGTTTGCGTTGCCGTCACGTCTTCTTAATCAGCCTATTTCTGGGAGCGATGACTTCATCTCCTGTGATTCTCGACACAGCCATTGTCAGGCATCCATGGAAAGATTGGGCCTGGCAGTGTCCATATTCCCCTAACGAACCAGGTTAGGAGAGCCAGTTGGCGGGTCCTGGTCTGACCTGGCTCGGGGGCTTATGGTCAGGTCTGTCTCCAGGAGACTCCACTGCCCAGGGTCACCCTTAGATTTGGCCTCTGACCCTGGGGTACCCAATGCAGCAGATTCCAGCCATTGTTTCCTGTGTGCTTCCTCTGTGTATGCTCTGCTGTGGGCAGGGGGCAGGGGACAGTCACACCAATCCCTGCTTTCAGGCTGAGAATACAGATGGGTCAACAGACCTCACCTTAGAGGGTCTGTGCTTGAACAGAGAAGGGAGTGAGGACTCCACCAGGGCTCAAGGAAGGCACCACTGAGTTGATTGCGCCACAGGGTGAAGGTGAAGGTTCCCTTGAGGGAGGGAAAGGGCTGTGGGCACGCCAGATAGTTGGGTATCACTGGGCGCAGGCATGGGGCGGCTGTGTGTTGGGCCTGGAGAGTACAAGGAATAGAGGGGAAGGTAGCAGGAAGGCAGCAGGGTGTGGACTTGATCCTGAAGATAGCTGGGAAGGATTTTAAGAAGAAATGGGACCTAGATAGATCAGTGATTTTAGAAGCAAGTCCTTGGCCATGTGTAAGGGTAAATATGGAAGGGTATGACATTGGGAAATATGTACAGTATTTGATTTCTTGGCACACAACTCCTGAAATCCTTAGATTCTCTAAAGTGACGTCTACTTATATGCTAATGAGTTGACTGATAGCTGGCAGCCCCTAGGTGGCTTCAGAAAGGGGTCACAGAAAAGACCAAGGCAGGATTGAAGGGTTGGAACTTTCAGCCCGCCCCATAGCCCCTGGGACAGGGAGAGAGGCCGAAGGGTAAGTTAGTCGCCAATGGCCAGTACTTTCATCAATCATGCCTATGAAACGAAGATTTATAAAAACCCAAAAGGACAAGACTTGGGGAGCTTTCAGATAGCTGAATGCTTGGAGGTTCCTGGAGGGTGCCTAGGGAGGGCTTGGAAGCTCCACGCCCCTGCCCACGTACCTCTACCTGTGCATCTTTTCATCTGTATCCCTTTATAATAAACTGGCAAACAGAAGTAAATGTTTCCCTGAGTTCTGTAAGCTGTTGCAACAAATTGATCAAACCCAAAGAGAGGGTTATGGGAAACCCAGTTTACAGCCAGTCGATGGGAAGCACTGGTAAACCAACGCAGGGCTTGCAATTGGCATCTGAAGGATGGGGGGATAGTCTTGGGGACTGAGTCCTCAACCTGTGGATCCGATACTATCTCCAGGTAGATGGTGTCAGAATGGAACAAAATTAGAAGACATCTGGCTGGTGTCTGCTGCTCAACTGATCGCCTGCTTGGTGTGTGGGGACCACCCCTCCTGCCCGCACCACATCTGATGTTGGAAGTGCTCTGCTTTGTGAGAGTGTGAAAGGAGCGAGGAGAAACTCAGTTGGGTTTTTTCTACAGAACGTATCTGGGACGGGAGGAAGAAGCTGGCGACTGAGGGCTCAGCCCTGTATTCCCCTTTATCTTCAAGGGGAAGGATCTCTTTCCCCACCCTACTCCCTCATACTGTACTTCAGGAACTGGTGCCAAGGCCAGCCAAGCTCAACCAACTGCTAGGAGCTCAGGTCCCCACCCTGGAATGCTGGTGGGCTGGGGACAGGAGGTGGAGAGGAGTAGGGATGTGGGGTGGTCTCAAAAATATTTTGCTGCACTTACTGCAGGCTTATGTATAGCTTTGCCTGGAGGCAGGGGGACAGTTGAATGAGTGCCAGCAGGATAAAGCGCTCTGAGGGGTGGTAACTTGTGTCCTGCTCTTGGCCTGGATGCTCATTGTCCCCTCACCTCCATTCCCCATCTGGGGATCCCTCGGGACCCACCTTGGAGCAGAGACACTGATGTAACAGTTCAGGCTCCTGAGCTGCTCTGGCTGCGGTGCATCTGCTTCCCAGTGTTGTGGCCTCTAGCAGGTGACTTGCTCTGTCGTGAATTTTAGTTTCCCTTTCTGTCAGATGGGGACAAAAAGTGTAACCATTTCCTAGGATACTTGTGAGGATTAACGTGTTTTAAGAGGGAGGCTTAGCAGAGTGCCTACACATAGAGGTGCCAGCATGCCTGAGCATGGCAGTGGGGGTGTGGCAAGGGTGAGGGCAACTGTCTTCACCATAATTGCCAAGGCTCCCTTAGGATTCAAAAAGCCAGGGATCAGGGGAGTGAGGAGGTGTGATGGGGGGCCCAGCAGAAGAGCTTGATTGGCGGAGCAAGAAAGAGACTGGGCCCTCCTCTCCACCACTTTATGACCTCATCTTTCTGGGCCCAAAGAAATGGCGAGAAAAGGAATGTTGGGGGCCCCCATTGCAGGGGCAGGTGAGGAGCTAATGTATCTGTTAACACTTGTGTATTTCCTTTTCCCTCACAGCCGAGAATCAGCTGCTCTTGGGCAGGCATCCAGCAGGGAAATGCTTTGAAGGGAGCCTTCCCAAGCTGAGGGTAGCCAGGCTCTCCCACCTCCATCTCCTTCTCCCACACAGGGCTGTCTGCCTTCTCCCTTGTCCCTGAGCCACCACCCATCATCCTTTGCATGCTTTAACTGTTCCAGCTGCTCAGTGTTGTCTTTTTTTGTAAGAAAACAGTCCAGTTCAGCAAACATTTTATAAGCACCTGTTGTCTGCCTGGGTCTTTTTTGGGCTCAGGGCATACAGGGGATGGTTAAAGTATCAACCCAACTATCACAGGGGAGAATATTAGGGAATTGTTTTGAAAGATCTGAGCGCAAAAGCAGCGATCCCAGGGCACGAGGCCCTGGGTTCTAGGCCCTTGTTCTCCTTTCTTCCCGTGGGACCTTGGACAATTTATGGTACCTCTCTGAATCTCAGTTTCTTCAACTCAAAACCCAGGTCAGTCTGTTGATGCCCCTGGTTCTAAGAGGCATGCTGTGGTAAGTTTTGGAGTAACTTACCCTGTGGGCTCATCAGTTAGAGAGGTCTCTGCGAACTCCAGTTTCAGGCCATAGTGAGAACAGCAGACCCCAGAGGGAGGAGTCTGATCGAAGTTTGAGTCCCATTCCACTGCAGCTTGCTAGTTGTGTGAATTTGGGCCTGTTCCTTAACTCAAAGACTGGGTTTCCTCAGATGTGAGGTAGGCATTGTGATATGCCGACAAATAGGGAACTCATGGGTCATATTAATGTTACTGAGATCCTCTTAGATACAGGGCCTGCTCCATGCCAAGAACACATCTCCAACCCTCCAGAGCTCCTTGTATCAGAGAAGGGCATTAGTGCCCAACTTCAGAGGAGCCAGTGAGGGTGGGGAGGACTGCAGCTGGCCCAGGAGCTCTAGAATGACTCTAGATGGGCTGGGAAGGGGCTCCTTGATTTCAACATGCACTAGTGTGGAATTCTATCTTGCTTTATGAAGAAAATGTTTGTTAATGATATTGATAGTGTAAATGAGATTTGGGGAGTGGGGACAGCCAGAGGAAAGGGTTATTTAAACACACTTCAAAGAACACCCTATTCCAGTATTTAAGCAGCAGCATTTGCATATGTAATAATTGTGCTAATTATAGGTGGCCTCATCTGTTAACAACAAGTTTGCCTGGTTGTGTTACATTATTGTAATCACCCAATCATAATTCTCTGGCATGCTTTTCACTAAAGATAACAACAACAATAGTAACAATGCCTGTCATTTTTTAGTCCTTTGCTCTGTGCCAGGCTTCCTCCCAGGTACTTGACAGTCATCAGCTCATTTAATCTTCACAACACCTCTGTATCCCAAAGATTCTTATCTCTTGTGTACAGAGGATGAAACTGAAGTACAGAGAGGTTAGGTAACCTTCCTGGGCTCACACAGCCAAGAGCCAAGGAGGAAATGCCAGCTCACAGGCTCTTTCCACCGGGTGGCACTACTTCTCTGGGGACACTTGACATGTGTTCTCACCCTTTATCTCTAAGTCTTCTCTTTCTCATTTGGTCCTCTCAGAAATCCCCATTTTGCCGAAGAGGAAGCTGAGACCCTAGGGGAGAATTTGGGGCTGGGCAGGAGGTGAGCCCAGGTCCCCTTAACTTTTAGGACAAAACCAGCCCCAGCATACCCACCTGCCTTCCTGCAGTAAGGGATGTGGGGGCAGCAGCCCCTCCATGTTCTCCTCTGAAGTTTTGAAGGAGTCCAGCCTTGAGGAGGAGGGTGCCCCTCACCTCTGCTATCAAGTGGGGTAGGCCTGGCCTCTCCATCAAAGAAATTATAAGTCAGTAAACAGGTGGGAGGACTCTAGCACGTCATTAATTGCTTTACATACGTTGTCATTAAATCAGAGGTAGTATATGGATGGCTGGTGGCCAGATGTATCCCACAGACAGGTTTCATTTGACCCGATGGGGTGGAAAGATTCTATTGTTTTGTTGGTTTAAAATCAGTTACCAACACTAAAACATTTACCTTAAATATTCACCTGAAAATCTAGATTTCTGGCTTCTTTTAAAACAGATGTGGCCTCAGTGGGCCTACATTCCTATAGGGCAAAGAATTGGTTTCTTCAGTTCACCTCAGACTCCTTTTCTCCCTGGAAGTCTCCTCCCAGCAACCCTGGGAGGTGTGTGGGTGTGTGTGGGGTTGTAGTGTTCCCCTTCTACAGATAAGGAGCCTGGGGCCCAGAGGAGACCGGCTGGGCCACTCCAAAAAGCTGTTGGTAAGGTCAGGACTTGAACCTCCATCCTCATCTCCACGCTGTGTGGTTCTCACTCCACCTTGCTGCCTCCCAGCCATGTCCAACCCCCACGGCCACCAAAGAAAGAAAGAAAAACTTTTCACAGGCCTAATGACTCAAAAATAAACAACAGTAAGCCTGAAGAACTGTTCCTATCTCCCTCCTCTCCCTTTCCACCCTTCCCGAGGCCGGAGGGGACATGGGAAACCTATTCATTTAAACTCAATTATTTTCTCGAAGACAGAACAGAACTGAATTGGGTCAGCGGCTATATTTGCTGTGCTCAGCTGTTTTCCTGCAACAGCATCATCCACCGGGTCTGTTGCTGGGCCCTGCACTGCTAGGCTCACCAATTATAGCTCCATATTGGTAGCCATTCCTTGGCAAGCTTGGCTTAGGAAGAGAGGAGCCAGTGAATGGAACCTATCACCCTCTCCTTTTTCACCCAACAGGCTACAGGAGCAGGGTCCCTGGGCCAATGTAGGTCCAGGCTCTGGTCACCACCTCCAGGGACCTAGGCTTCAGGTATTAGACATTTAATGTCCAACACCCGTCTGTAGGGGAGGTACGTCTGCAGCAGAGTTTCTGCAGATGAGGAAACTAAGGCTTAGAGAAATGAAGTGCTTGTTGGAGAGGCAGACCTTAGAGTCAGACACAATTGCCTTTCTAGCTGTGTGACTGGGAGCAAAGAACCTGACTGCCTTGCTCCTCTGATCCCACCTGTGTAAAGGAGGCATAATTTGACATACCTCACAGGGCCGGGCTGTCCGGTTGTAGATGGGTTGCAGTGTATATGCCAGCAGCCTGCCCAGGGTTAACCCTCCTGGCAATGAGAAGTGTGCACGATGTGCCAGGCACAGAAGTTGGTGGGGACACAGATCTCTGAAGAAGGATATGTTTGGACATCCTCCTCTCCAGATACCTTTCCTGATTCCCTGCTCCCAAACTGGAAATGCTCCTGCAGTCTCTCTAGGCCCCCTGTTGGGCCAGGCCCTCCCCTGGACACGTTTCATCACGTCTTCTGGGCCCACAGCCTGTTATATATGTTTTTTGTTTGGTCTTAATATTTGTGTACCTTCCCTTCTCTACTAAACTACCAGTTTCCTGAGGACAGACCTTGTTCACCTGTTTGGTTCCTGGTGACACTCCCTTCCCAGCTGGGTGGCCTTGGACTGGTGGTTTAACCCTGGTGCGCATGTTTTCACATCTGTAAAATGGGAACATTGATCTCTCCCTCTGGCACATGTCATGGTGAGGAGGTTAATACCACACGTGGCAGTATTGTGCCAGATGGCTGTACGGAATGGAGTCGAGAGAAACATTGGGAGGAAGCCAAAGCAGAGGCTGCCCCTCTGCCATCCTTGAAGTAGGGAATATCTAAGGGAGTGGGGCATAGTGGTTATAAATGCTGTCTTGTTACAGAATTGCTGTCTGGTTACATGGGGAGGTGGGAACAGAGTGGTGGCCAATGGGCCTCTCCTTGTCTTCTCCAGCTTCTTGCTGTAGAGGGCTGGACTTGCCCCAAGATTGGACTGTTCTGGCTTCACAGTAATCTCAGATTGCTGGGGCTGGGGCTGGTTGGAACCTACCCACAACCACTGACCTCCAGGCACCCGGATTGCAGTACCTGGCGTTAGATCTCTTCTTTTGGCAGCCATGGGGTCTGGGTGTACAGCAGGATCTCCTTGCATTACCCCACAATATTATTGCTGGTCTCAGGGTTGGGGAGTGTTTAGGGAGACTTGAGTTCCCTGACCTTTCAGGAAGCATGCATGTGAACATAGGCATTGGACCTGGTGTAGACATGGTGTGGTGATGGCTGGGCCCTACTCTGGTGGGGTGGGAGCAGGACTTGGGGACTAAGCAGCAAATGACCTAGCCACAGACACAGAAATGGCTCTGGTGGGAGCTCAGCTAGTGGCACTGGACTCTCTGGGGGCCAGGGCTGAGGGCACTGCCCAGGTTGATCCCGACGTCTTGTACAGTAGAACCAGCAGTCACAGGCTCATAAACTGTAACCGTCTTCTTTCCGTTGCCTCTTGGTAGCATTCAACCCCTGGCACACTGTGCTGGGTGTTGCCTAGCACTTGGCACTGTGACAACCAAGAAAGAAAAATGCTGACCATGTCTCACTGCTTGTTCGAGTAAATTTACTCTATATTTTTTAGAGATGTCGCATGGGTGGGAATTTACTCCCACTAAATGTTTTGATGGAAACATTACATTTTGGAGTGAACATGTGTCAACATCACTGTGGGGAAAAGGTTCCAGGATTCTCTGCCAGCCGAAGTCATCGCCATAAGACACTGGTTGGGGGCCTGGCAGGTGGAGATGATGTGACCGGGCTGGTAGTGGGGCAGAGGTAGCCAGATGGCGGGAGTCCAGCTGGCTGGTCTGGAGGGAGAAGGGGGTCTGAGCTAGGGGAACTGAATAGGTGGTGAGGAGGAAGGGAGTGGGGAGGCTGTGGGCTGACGATGTAAATTAACCACCCACACAGCTCAAAACTAGGTGAGTGGGGAGCTTGAGGGGCAGGAACAGCGAGCAGAGGCTCTGAAGTGTTGAACACTGGTAACTCAGACCCGAGGGACAGTCTGGGGCCAGATTGTTGAGGGTCCTAGAATCCCAGCTCCCACCAGTAACTAGCGGTGTGAGCTTGGGCAATTTTTCCAAGCTTTCTGTGCTTCTGCTTCATTTTTACTAAAAGGTAGCATGGATACCCACAGCTTATGGCTCTTTGGAGAATTAAAGGAGATAATGTCTATAAAACACATAGCAGGTGCCAGGACACATTTGCTCTTTGTTAGTGATGATAAAGGCACGCAAGTATAGATGTGCTCACATAAATTAACAGCTGGTGTACTGAAACTACTTCCTGAGTTGGCCCTCAATCTAATACCAAGTTTGTTTTCTCACATTCAGCTAAGTACAACTGGTCCCTTCAGAAGCCCTTGTGGTCTCTTGTACTTTGTGGTACAACTGTGGTCTCTTCAAAAGCCCTTGTTCATGAACAGCCAGGCCCTGGGCTGACTTTGCCACAGGGCGGGCATCCCTCTCCGGCCTTGTACCTGTTTGTGTCCTACAGATGGATCCTGAGGCAGTTGGTGGGTTTTAGCAGCACCCTCCTTTAGAAAGAGCCTCTGTCGTCTGCTTAGCCTCTAGAAAGAAAAGATGTTTCCTCTCCCAGGATTTATACATCTCTCCCCACGGGACGTACAGGCATTGCCTGGAGGTATTCCTTGACAGTCGTGGCCCAAACTCTTGTCACTCAAAGAAATGGAAAGCTTTTTGAGGGGGAAGGGTTCCAGACTTCCCCAGAGAGCCTAGCCCAGTTGCTGAGGACATCTTCAGATCTGAAAGAAGATAAGACAGGAGCATCCTGAGCTCTTTAGAGAAGACTGCCTGCAGTGTGTGTGTCTCCATCACTCATGTATGGAGTCCCCTAGGCCCTGAGAACCAGAGATGAACAGACCCCAAGGAAGGCCTGGCAGGGTAGGCAGTAGTAGCCAGGAGAGGGGAGTCAGACCAGGAATTTAGGCAGAGAGAGGGAGAGATTGTGCACTTTCCTGTGCCTGGGGCCACTGGGCAGGCTTCCCTCAGGTGGGGGCAGTTGAGCTGGGCCTTGAAAGGTGAATGAAAATTAGAAATGGGGGCAGGAGGGGAACCTCGTGGAAGCAAGGGTGTGACTGTGAGAAAGGCAGGGCATGCACGGGGAAGGGTAAAAAAGGAGGCAGGCCTTGTGACTATTCCCTGTGATAAGCTTCAGGTATAAAGGTGAGGAGTGTGCAGGGACAGGTAGGACCTACTGACGGGTGAGGCCCAAGGCTCTGGGCTGCTTCTGTGGCTGTGGGAGATGCTGAAACCAGGAGTGACTGGATCAGGGCAGCCTCTGAAATTCCCCCAACTACACATGGCCAGGAATGGTCACTGTGTACTCTGTACTTGTATGTGTTACTCAAGATGTTGCTGAAAGGAGCCTGCAAGTGGTTATGCAGACCTCTGAGCAGGGGCTAGGAAGGAGGGCACAGAGGAAGTGATGGCAGACAGCTGGTGAGGGTAGGAGACCCACTGGAGATGGACATATCCTGACCCTCAGATGCAGGCTCATTTCTTGTTAGTGCGTGACTCCTTCCTGTGAGAGCTGTCATGCAGAGGCAAAGGCCCTGTTATAGGGCCCTGTTTTCTTATAACAAGATATTTTAACAGTGTGGATGAATCATCAGGGGATGGCTTCTTGCCTGAGGGAAATCTAGGAGGGCTTCCAGGAGGAAGGAGTATTCAGATTAAGGAGGGAAACAAGAGGGGACTAGTAAAAGGTGCAAAAACAGTTGTCTAGGCGTGAGGCACACTTTCAGATGTAGTTGGGTGAACTTGAGCAAATGACTTAGCTATTCCAGACTTGATTTCATCTAAAAGTGGTCGCAGTATCTGCCTTGCCTGTTTGTTGCCATGATTATGAAATCAGTGGGAGCAGACCTGGCTTGGAGCCTGCACCCTGGAGGGAGGTGATGCTCAGAGGATGCACTCTGCTTTCGCCTTCCTTGTTGGCTTGGCTGCTCTGGAGCCAAAGTGGGCTTCTCTGGCCGCAGGACCTCTCTGAGACTCTATCTTCACCTTTCCCCCGCTAGGAAATTTTATTAAGACATTGGATAAACAGATGACAGCTCTGAGGGAAAACTCAGAAGGAAGGGGACAGGACACTGTTAAGTGCTCTTCTGTCTGGGAGCCTTTTAGGCAGTAGGGGGAGCTGGATAGCTCTTTTGGCTTTGGAGGTGTGGACAGATGCAAATGTGGGCAGACGGGTGGTGTTGGATCGCCTGGCCTGTGTGCACAGCAGAGCTGAGCCTGGAGCCTAGGGCCCAGCAGGGGATGGAATGAGTCAGGGACCTTTCAGGCTGGGGGCTGCTGATGGGGTCACAGTAAAACCTCTTCACCAGTCCTGCAATAACCCCAGATGGTATCCTGCCTGCCTGTACACAGTAGGTGCCTGACACAGCCTGCAGCTTAGTAGGAGCTCAGTAGTTGTTTGCTGAAACACCGGAGCAGGCTGCAACTGCCAAGGACTGGCCTGGGGTCTGTGATGCCTTAGGGTGGAGGATGGGAGGAGCTGGGCAGGACCTAGGTAGGACTCCAGGGGGTGGCTCTTGTTCTTCCACTGTCTTCTGTTCATATTTACATCAGGAGGCTGTGCAGCCTCGGGTTCCTGGCCTCAGCTGGATTAGCACTTATAGCTGGTGGCTGTAAGTGAAGGAGGTGTGACGGTATGATACCCTGCATGTGGTAGAGACTCAGCAGGTGGATACCATTGCGGTGGCTTCTCTAGTGGGGTGGGAAAAAGGGTGACCCCAGGCAAAAATACCTGGTTGGCTGGGTGTGCCCTTCCCCTAGGGGTTTTTGTTTCGGTGAGGGCCTGGTAAGTGACCCAAGGATGAATCTCCAGGCCAGCAGGTGGGGCAGGGGTTTGTCTGCCCACAGGCTTCTGGGCGCACTCAGGAACCTGGGCAGCTTACACAGCTCACCAGCCTGTCGTCTCCTTCGCTGCACTCGACCTTTCCCTTCTGTCCTGCTGGACTAGCCGGGTGCTTTCCAGAAGAGAAAACCCGGGACTGCTTCCTGGGAACCCAGTGCCCTTCCCATCTTAGGCTGTCTAGTCCCAAGTCGGGGTGGGGAGTCGGGTTAGGGGATCATGGTAGGCAAACCCCTGGCCTTGTCTGGACCTCAGTTGTGTTCACTTGTTAAAATGTTTGAATGGAAATGTGGGGAAGGGAGAGCCTTTGCCTTGTTTGGGTCTCTGGGCTGTGCTGGTCTAAGCCCAACGAATCCAGGGTAGGGCCAGCGGGACCGAACTGGAATGCGCCGCCGGAGCCAGGCCGCGGGTGAGTGAGGGACTGGCGGGGCCGGTGGGGACCCAGACTCGCACGAAGGTGGGGAAGGGGTTGCAAGGCAGAGGCCCGCGGATCCCCGCACCGGGGCCTGCGCATCCGCCTCCCCCCCGCCGCGTGCCCAATGCGCAGCGGCAGGTCGCTAGCGGGAAGTTCCTGCAGCTGGGGGCAGCTGGCCGCGGAATGCTGGGAAGGGCTGGGCCTGCTGCTGTGGGGTGGGTGGGCGGGCCTAGGCTGGAGCTGGGGCCGGGCCGGCCGCTTCCGGGCTGGACAGGGTTTGGGGCGTGGCGCAGCCCGACATTAGTCCGGAATGCTCTTCGAGCGGTGCTCGGGTGAGGTTACCTTGGCGCGCCCCCAAATCTTTTGGTTCCCCTGCTCCTGCCTTCCACCGCTCTGGCTGACCTGGCTCAGACCAGCTTGAAAAATGCATTCATTCAGTACATCTGTCAGGTGCCTACTTTGTGCCAGGCTCTGGTTGGAGGTGTGCTGGGCTTACCTGGGCGTGCAGGTCCCTGTTCTCGTGGACCGGACATTTTCATGGTGGGTAAAAGACAGAAACAAACAAGATGACTTAAGGGTTGTTCTGTGGAGAAAATGAAGCAGGGTGGTAACTGGGGAGATGGTAGTTGCCCCTTTAGCTAAGAGATCAGGGAAGGCCTCTTCCTGGGACGGGACTTTGGGTCTGAGACCAAAAGGAGGAACCAGCGTTGCCCAGGGAATGGCAAATACAAAGGCCCAGAGGCGGGGCTTGGGGCAGGAGATGACCTTGGGCGGAGTCAGCATTTTAGGGGAGGAGCCTGTCGGGACGGCTCCTCCCTCTTTCCTGACCCAGAGCTCTGTGCTCAGGCCTGCACCCTGCCCAGAGGCCCTTGGAGGGAGACTTGCCGTGGCTGGAAGCCATAGTTTGCTTTCAGGAGTGTTTCTCGTCTTCTTGGATGTGGAGGTTGTGCCGTGTGGTTACCTGTATGGAAGACTGTAATTTTCCACTTGATTCCTGAAGGACACGGAAACCTTTAGATGTTGTCATCACTGTGTTTATTTAAGTCATTTTTGAAAGTTCAGCTTGGAAGACACAGATTCAGCACGTGCCTTTCGGGAAGGGCAAGCCCTCCTAGGCTCACCTCTTAGATGCCGGCCCGGCCGAGAGTCCTCCTAATCTGTCTAGAATAGGTGCCTGGGTGAGCACCACCCTTGGGAATGGGCCTCTGTGGCCTTGGACTTCTTAGTGACAACTTCGGCAAGATCCTGGGCCGGGCCGGAGGGGCTGCTCACTGGAGACCTGGCCATCTTCGGAAGCCAGATCTGGCTCCAGAGCCTCAGGGGTTGCAAGTGCCCAGAACCAGGTCAGCAGAGAGGCCTGCACTCCCACCACAAAGGTCTGTTTGAAGTTCTGTGGGAGGGAGGACAGACACCACAAGGAAACTTCCTCCCGGGTGGGTGGGTCTCCAGCCTGGTATGGGGTCAGACAGGCTTTGGATGGGGTGGGTTGGGCTGGAGGGTGAGGAGCTGTTTCTCCAACAAGGCCTGGTCCCAGAACTGAGTCCTCAATGGACAGGGCTTGTTGGTGTGCTGTGCAAGTGCAAGGCTTGGGGGACTGAATGGGGGACTCCCTCGGACATGGGAGGAAGAGTGAAGGTGGGGACTGGGGTTGCTAAACTGGCTCCTCCAGGGAAGCAAGCTCTGCCCTCCTGGAGCTTCCAGCCTTTAGGTGGGGAGGTGAGCTGGGGAGAAGCTTTAGGGTGCAGCTCAGAGAAGGCCAAGCAGGCAAGGTTGTGGGGCACCTGAATGGTGGGCGTCCAGCAGCCTGGCTGTTGACCTAGGCTCAGGGAACCAGCATTTGGTTAGGTGGGCTATGAGGAATGGGCCTTGACCCTAGGCTGCGGGGCTAATGAGGGCCTTAGCCAGAAGCTGCCAGCACAGGTGAGGGGGAAACTGCCGGTGCCCCTGTGCCCTCACACTCTCCCAGCCCTGCCTCTCCAAGACAGATTTAACAATCCACGTCTGTCTCTCTCTCTCTCTCGCAGTTAGTATTGCAGGAGAGAAGCTTTACTTCTGAAACTTTTATTGATCCAGACACTAATAAAAAGTAAAGGTTTTTTTTTTTCTTCTTTTCTGCCAGAGCAAAGAATATCAGAGCCCTAAAACACAAATTTGTTTTCCTCCTCCCTAGATCTGGGAGGGAGGTGTAGGTTGGCCTTGTTCAGATCTAGCCTCTTCAAGAAGCCTCCCTAACTCCTCAGGCCTGCAGTCATCCACCTGTTCCCCAGCAGTTAAACGAAACTGCCACATGTGCCTCTGTCTGACCCCAGAAGGCTGGGGTGTCACAGAAGCTTTCCTTCCCACCTGAGGCCCCCAGGGGTAGGGAGAGACGCCATGGGAGGCATTCAGGACCAGGCTCTTGATTTCATGTATGTCTCTCAGGGTTTGGGGTTTGGTTCTTTGGCTGCCCTGATCTTTGTTTTTGCATCTTGATTTCATCAGGACTTACTGAGCTCTTGCACCGTGTCAGACCCTCTTTTAAGACACAGAAATACAACACATAGAGCTTGGCTACACACAGCTTACCTTGTGACAGGAGAGGCAGATAATAAATAAACGGAGAAAAAAAAGTGATTCCCAATCGAGTGAAGTTTCCCTACTGAAATGTGAGTCAGGGATTTCTGTCTGCTTTGTTGAGCACCTGTCTTCCCAGTGCCTAAATAGTGCTTGGCACATTGTTTGCACTTAAATATTTGCTAGCTACATGAGCAAGATGCTATGAAGGAAACAAACCAAGTGTTCCACCGGGGAGTAACGGTGGCAGGGCAGGACCTGTGTAGATGGAGCAGTCAGAGAAGGATTGAGTTGCAGAAGATGCCGGAAGCCCGCCAATTTGCTGTTTGAGTGTGTTGGAGCAAGAACTCCTAGCCTAGGGAGCAGTAAGTACAGCCCTTGAGCAGGAAACAGACTTTGGTGTGTGTGGTGGGGGGCGTTGGGTGTTGCTGGATGAGGTCAGAGAGTAGGTAGGTCACGATTGCCAACGTCTTTCACCTGGGGAGCGGTTCACATTTATTCAGTGCAGTGGGGAATAATTGAAGGCTTTTAAGATGAGGAGTTCAGTAATCTGATTTGCATTTCTGAAGGGTCCCTCTGACCCCTGGTAGGGGTAGGGGGAAGCCCAGTGGTTTGGGAGGCCGCCTGGACAATAGGCTGCCTGGGGAAGATGGAGAGGAGTAAACAGGGATGAGGGATTTCAGAGGAGGTAGCAGGAGGATTTGTGTTGGATTGGATTCTGAAGGCCAGGGAAAGGAAGGGCTCCTGGCTTTGCTACTGAGGCTCCACGCTGGACATTTCAGATGTGAAGTTCTGTGAGATGCCCTGGAGGTGCTGTCAGGCCGGCATGGAGATGCATGGGTCTGGAGCTCAGAGGAGGGGAGGGCTGGGAATACACTTTGGAGTCATACGCATGCTGGAGGTATTTAGAGCTATGGGAGTGGATACAATCACCAAAGGAAAGTGTTGTGCTAAGGAAGAGTGTCTCCGAAACAGGCCTGAGGAACTCCAGCACCCGGAGGAAAGGAGGTGAGGTGCTAGAAGCCTGTGAGAACAGAGGAAACCTGGAGCACAGTGGCCTGGGTTCAGGGGATAGTAAGGCACAGAAACTGGTTAACTTTGGCAACCTGAAGGCCTTTGGCGTCCTCAAGGAGACCCAGTGGTGTCGGAACAGACAGGTGTGTTGAGTAGGAAAAGGAGTTGAGAAGGTGGCGGGGGCAGCAGTGAGCAGAGAAGTGCGTGAGGACCCAGCCAGCCCAGGATGCTGAGGAGGGGAGGGCCGCAGAGGGGCCTGAGTGTCTCTGTCCACGGCGTGGGTTTACCAGCAGCTGACCCAGGGCATCTCAGCCTGGAGATTCTGATTCTGGAGCGCCGATAGGCTCCCCCCAGTGATCTTTCCCAGCTCCCTCAGCCCTCTCCACCTACTCTGGAAAGCTCACTGACTGTGCCGTGTCACGTTTTTGGACTCAACACTGAGTCTGTTGACCCTGGTTCCCCTGTCAACCCCTTTCCTTACCCCAGTCTCTGTGGGTCCACGCAGAGTATCCTGGAACCTGCCTTACCTC